ATTTGGATCAACTTTATCGTGAAATAATTTCAGCGTACAATAACTCGGTCCAGAACCGTTCTTATTCTTATGTATATGATGACTGCATTGATGCAAACATTTCTCAAATATTTCTCGCTCACCAGCCAAATAAGGATCTGTTAAAATATTAAAGATTTTAGCCCAGCGTATCAATTTGCCAACCAGTATGTTTAAATTTAACATTACCAACGAAACCAAAGCGCCTCCAGTATAAAGAGTGTGATATATAATCCTTAGCCCTATCCGGATTCGGTTCCATTTTATCTACAATTTATATGTTTTGCATGATAAACAGTAATGAATCCTAGCAGCTACAAGCCATATTTTACTTACACTTTATATGTTCCATCCCAAGCTTTCGAAGGGCTTCAGGTGGGGCATTCTCACATGCGTCGACATTTTTGCAATAATCAACATGGAGATGTTGCATAGCAGATTTGCATAACTATTAATTGCAATTAACATTAGTTTGGTTTAGATTAGCATAATTCATTGCGAACACTCTTACCATGTGACAATAAACGTAACTTCCAGAGTCACCTCCTGTAAATGTCTGGTTTTCGTATTGGAAAGTGGGAGAAATCCCAACCCAAGCCATAGGCTTCATGCTTCCATGCGCCGTGTCATGTAAGCCTCTATGCCCATAACCCTTGTAACACTGAAATATTTCTGTTAATATGCAAGATCCATTCCATTTAACAAACCTGGCTACACTTACGTAATATTCGCAATATGGACATTGAATATTGCATTTATGATCAGCGTTGCATTCGTGGAGGCCCTCGTGTGTATGTTGGTTTCGCGGAATTTTAACTTTACATTTGCGTCTTATCGTTTCTTGGGAATGCTTCATGAAACATGTATAAGTAATTATAACTTTACGTAACAACTCTAAAGCAAAAATATTCTACCTCTTCATAATCAAATGCATTGAACTCGTTACTATATGTCTTCATCTTTATAATGGGATTAATTTCGCAAATGCCAGGTTTTTCACACATTTGCTTACAATCATGTACCTGTCTATTAGTTTCAAAATCATTTTTTAGCTTTTTTAACCTTTCAATTGATATAGGAATGTCAACTGAGATTACAACCCACCCGCAAAAATGATTCTCCACACCATGCTGAAGTGCATGAAGATGATCATTACTTTGGCAAGTCTCTTCACACCCATAAATGCAACAATCAATTGGACATCCTTTACTATTAGTGTCACATTTGTGTTCATTATGTTCCTTTCCAACAGGGATTGTACAAACGCCTGTACATTTATATAAACCAGGTTTTGATAAAGAACAGGGTTCTCTGCAATAATGTTCATTCGCATCGCAAAGATGTTCGCCTTCATGATCAACTTCCTTTGAACATTCATAAAGACACCAATTTCTATTGTTGTATTTGCATTTATCTGCACATGCATGTCGCATTTCGCATCTATGTCTATTTCTGTGTCCGGCTGGACAGTCGCATAATGGAAGTTCTTTCTCATCGGGATGAGCCTCCTTAATCTCGCAACGAAAGTGGCACTTGTGATCAGTCTTGCAATCATGTCCTTCGGACTCTTCATGTTGATTCTTTAGGCAGGGTAAACTACACTGATCATAGTTACACGATTTTTTGCATAACATCCAATACTGTTTGTTTCGATCACTTTGTTTAAAATATTTGCTCTTCACCTTCACGACGTCTGGATGTTCTAATGGAACTCGTTGAAAATTTGCCTCAAGCCAAGCTCCAGCGCGTTCGTCACGACGATTTATGATTTCGCCGATAAATCTATCGTATTGCTCAACCCATTTCACATCATTAGGCGCAAGTGACCGTTGACCATAGTATTTTTCGAAAAAATCTAGCAGAATTTTGACGGTGTTGATGGATCCTTCCCCACTAAGTACAAGTCCAACATCAGATAGTGGTTCAAATGAATGATTTAACTCCCTGAACTCATTGAACATTGGTATCTCTATATCCTCTATGAACGATCCGATGTTATGGTCCTACATTTGGAATTACATTTAATTATATAATCGCTAAAATGTTCGACTGTCAAACAATGGTAAATATAAAATTACCATAAGAGGTGGCGTATCAATTTGATGACCATTTTGTGAAGGTTCAATAGGTTCGTGGCCACATGCCATGACACTTGGCAGTGCTTTCTTCACTCCATCTGTGATACTCCGTATCATACTCTCATTAAGCGATGTCCAGTCTGTTACCTATAAAGGCAAATCTTATCAATACATAATACGTTTTCGATGCAAAAATTTTTTCGATACACTGTACTTTGGTAAATCTGAGTAACCCCAATGCCTACCGCTAATTTAGCCATAACCATTTTAAGTTTTCTCAAAAAATCGTTTGTCGTGTTATATTTTTCAGGCGTTTCATTATTCAATTTAGTTTTGAGCGAATTAAATGTTTCATAAAACTCTAGAAAAATCCAACTATTAATGATCATATTAAGTATCCATATTAACAGACAAGCAGCGAAACTATTCATTCACACCTGGATCTTTAAAGACAGGCCAGGGTATAATGCTCATAAAGTCTCCAAATAATCTTGAGATAAAATTGTTTTCCTTGTCCTAAAGTTTTGAAGTCATTTTTCAATCTAATTAACTTGGCAAATCACCTACACTATATACTAATACACTTACAGACTCAACAATTTGTTCAATCTTTTCAACAAATTCCTCTTGTATTGCTTCCACATCATTTTCTGGCACGTCTTTGATGATAACACAAAACAGTGTCTATAAAATGTATTTTAGCTTTTTTACTCCAATCAAAATGTTAATAGTAGCCAGATGTACATACTTGAAAAATCTCTTTTTCTTCATTTTTGCCACCAAAATAGTTTTCTCCTATTTGAAACCTTTTGAACATATCGGTCGTATTTCGACTAATAGCAAAAGGACATTTGAACAATATCATAGTGGATACACTAAATATAAATATTTACAAGTAAACAGTAAGCATAAGTTCAGTTTGCTGAAAAACACATGCTGACATATCTTATACCTTGCATTAAGAAGAGTCAAATGAAGGTCGTCCTGTGGAGTTCTCTCAATCAAGTTAAGCCCTATATTGAGGCAACGAACATCAAAGCTTGTTATTGTTTGTGTTTGTTTGTATTTGACATAATTCAGTGGAGTTACCTTCGAAATCCAATGCAACATAGACTGTGTCCTCCACATATGCTATTCAACCAAAATTTTCCAATCAGTTCAAAAAAGTAAGAAATCTAAATGTAAAAAATAAACTTACCTAAAGATAACCATATCCCTTCAGTACAGCGCTACAACGAAAAAGTGAGCTGTGATTCATTGTTTATTCATTATATGCATGGATGAAAGAAATTGCTTACCTTAGCAGAGCCATCAAAGCTTGTGCCAATAAAATGGTTTAAGAAGTATGATTTGCCACAAGACTGTTCGCCCATACTAGAAACTACCCTTACGGGTTTATTACGAAGATATTTGAAAATTGCATCATACCAATAGAATGAGATTGATTGACTAACATCTTGTGCATTTGTCCCATTCTCAATTTGAATCGCTTGTGCTGATTGCAAACCATTACGTAAAATAATAAATTTATCTTTTTTAGCCATAGCAATTTGGATTGGTATGAGTGTACACAGTCGAATAATCCAGCTGTCATATATAGATAAAGATTTAATTGTTAGAAAAGGATAAAACTTTAAGAATTACTGAAATGAACCCAACTCACTTGTCGGCTTTGTAGCTTGAAGGTTCCAAGACATTTTTGTGAAACAAAATATCGCCAAGTTTCTTAACGCAAGTGGAGTAATTTTTTAATGGTGTAATATCTTTTTTTGTTGCTTTGCAAACGTTTCTAAAGCCATCTTTCATGTATTTGTCAAAGCGCTGCTGAAGTTTTTGTAAATCTTTTGGAATAATCTCAAGAAAATTATCCGTTAGATCCATTACTATGGTAAGTTTCATTGAGGTTTTACCATCATGTATGCATGGATCTATAGGATACTTGGTAAAAAGGTGCGAGTAGACGTCGATATAACCGTTCGATCTCAGCTGTTCGTTTTTAACTTGCTCCTCATTATTTTTGTTAACTCTGTATTGACTCTGATCGCTTGTGATATTAATATTTACTTTTACTGAAACTAGTACGTTATGTGCCAAGTCAAGCGTGACTAAATGTTGGATTTGCTCAAGGTATGTTAATCGATAATGAATTAAAGAATGTGAAGGTAAGGGAATTCCGGTCTGCAATGGTTCGCACTGTTTATCTTGATTTACAAAATATACAAGCGCTTGTACTGTATTAACTAAGTGGTTGCCTCCTCCAATCTTGCTACCTGTCGGATTTGTAGTCTTTGGTTCGAATACAAATATACAGGAAGGATTTGGTGAGCTTAGAACAGAGGCTGCATCCTTGGAAAATTTTTCAAAATAATTTAAATAGAAATCGTTGTAGTCGAACGTATAAGCTTCACCGTCTTTTTTAACGAAGAGCATTGAAGATTCACTGATCCACAAGAGGCGTTTAAGTGTTGATAACTGAGATGTCCGTACAAGATTTGGATGCAGCGGACGCATGTTTTTCTCAACATTGTAAATATTGTAAATATTAAGCTGTAATTATTGTAAATAATCGTTTAGCATTGATGTGCATAAATACAATATTAATTCATTTGTTACTCACAACATGTTTATCGTTATTGTACGTTGCCATAAGACCCGTTGAGTAATTTACTGTAATCAGCGAATTTTTGGGTTCACCCATTAGTCTGAACCGAGATGGCATTGAATTACGTTTGAAATTTTCCGTTAGTTCAAGAAGCGTTCCATAAAAGATAGCGTAAGCATTTTTTTCGGTGTCCCACAAAATTAGAACGAATTTTCCATCATCAAGTTGGCAAATTTTCCTAAACCAATTTTATCAGTAACAAATAAGGATTAAAAAGTCGCATACATAGAAACGGCGATATCTCACCTGATTTCAAATCTCGCATTTATATACAAAAATTTTCGACACGCATTCAATAAACTCGTGATTGTGTAATTGACATTTGCTTTGAGTCTGATATAACTGCTTGGCAATTCCAATATCATTAGTTCACAAAGGGAGGGCTTGACTACTTCAATGACATACTGAAACTCATATTGATTAGATTTTCGATGTTGCACTTTTTTGACAAACATTTTCTCTCTAAATTAATCAAGTAATAAGTTAGCCCAATGTATAATATATAATAGTGAGAATAATTATAAATATACTTACCCAATGGAATACATTGACTCAAGTTTTTTCTTTAATTTTTCAGTTTCTACTTTATCAATATGGCTTGTTTTCTCCTTATATTTGAAAAAATTACCATCTTCAGACATTTTTTGAATATGTGGTCTCCAACATTCCTCCAGCTTCTTGTTAATATTCCCATTATCCTTCCACTGTTGATACTCTTTTCGAAGCTTCACAATAACATTTTCTTTTGCAGTGCGTACTAGATCAGCAACAAAATTGGCATCTGATATATTATCAATCCCTTCTACTCCAGTCTTGCTATTTATAAAAGCAGTCACTGATGAAGTCACTCTGCAATTTCGACAAAATTCACATAAGTTGATGTTGGTAAAGCATACATGTACACTCAAGCTCAGATGATAATAATAGTATTTTACAGTGTAGTATTGCTTAAAATAACTTTTATAATAACAGATACTTACCTGTCACTATTTATTTCATACCATTTTACTTGTGATGAACTAGTCTGCTGCTCCCTTTTATTGTAAAATTCATACTTTAATGCTTTCCATTCCTTTCTATCAATCTGTAAAATCTTAGTTTCCATATCTTTACAAATTTCTGCATGTCCAGCATAAACCTTTTTAAGCTCTTCATTAATTGATGTATCAAATTAGAAAAAAAATTTTTTAAAGGTAACTCTTCAAAATTATAATTACCAGAATTGTCCTTAATTGAAGATGAGTTGACACTAAGAATCTTCTTTTCAAAATAACTAATTGAAGGGTTTAAGAGTTATATTAAATATTTACTAAGACAAATTTTGATGCATACCTACATATCATAATTTTCCAGTGCTGAAAGAACCCATTGATTTACTTCTTTTTTGTACTTGTTAATTTTTTCATCCCTTTGTTTTATCAGTTTCGATATTTGATTATCATATGTGACTAAAAAGTCAGGTTTATCTAAACCATCTTTAATCAAAATAACTAGTTCATCCATCATCAAATCACTTAAACTCAAAGCATAATGTTCTTCATTCAACTTCTTTTTCAAGAACTTTTGAAACTCATTAGAAGAGTTGAATTTTTCAGTCATTGTTTCAGATGAAGTTTTGGATTCACTAATATTTCGCACAATAGCCAAGAATTGTAGAGTATTTGATTCTATGATGAAAGCTTTTGATGGATCTCCATTACATATGGCCAGTTCTGGTATCTTGATCTGATAAGTAACAAGTAAATGGTCAGAAGCTCAGTAACCAATCAGCACACTTTAATAATTTTATTACCTTAAATCCATCACCGACTAAAACACCCTTTTCTTGCTTTTGAACTTTAATGTCAACTATCCTGTTTGCACTTGTATTTACGGAAAAGGAAAAATTTCTTAAATCTTCTTCACTCATTAAGCAGATTTGATGGTCCGTCAATTGAGTGAGAAATCTTACAAGAAACAACATTAGTGACAGTTTGTGCATATTGAATAACAAAGAATAAATTAATATTTACCGGTGAAGGTTTGTTGCATTTGTCAGTATTTCTTTTTCATCATAAAATTGCTTTTCCAGCCACAAGATTACAAGGCCAAACTTTGTACTGGCTGCTACTGTAGTTTCCTGCGACTGCTGGAGATTCATATCCGAATCAATAATTAGCAAATAAAGCCCGGTAGCCAATGTTTGTTCGCCTTTAATAAATTTCTCGTATCTGCAAAATGGAGCATTATTGTATTTATTATCTAAGTTCTTAAACAACAACTTTCAGTACCTACCTATCTTTGTCGATGACATTGTTTTGAAGCAACAGTTTTGAAATAATTTTACAATTTCCGTAACAACCAACTAGCTGAATATCGACGTCTGCCAGTTTGTTAAATTGTATATCAGAGACCGAACGATAACTTCCGGGAACCAGCATATTGCAGACTTTTTCCAGTTCTTCTGGATGAATAATGGCTTTACACACTAGATAATCACCCCGTCCTAGAGTTAAAAAAAGGATTAAAAGACTAGGTAAAGACTCGTGGCTATAGCTTTATGGGCACAATTTTTACTTATCTTTCACTAATGCAAGATAAACGTACCGGTAGTGCTTTCGTCCAAACACAATTCAACAAGTTGATATAAATTCGGAATGGTTCGGTAGATATTGTTGATTTCCGCAAGTTGAACATTATGGCTTTTGTCATGATTATTATTGCCTTCCTTCGCAGAAACAAATCCGCCGCTGGAATGCTGATCGTCCTCATTGGTAATTGCAGGATACGCTGTTTTCTGACTTGTACGTTTCGGGGTAAATCTTGTTGACGATTTGTTTCCTAAACAGTAGTTGATTATTATCGGTCAGTATTGCATATATACCGCATTTCTGAAATAAACGTTACATAATACATAAAAGCTATTAGCAAACTTGCCGTGTCCGTTAGCTTTTTTTTCCATGTTTGCAAGTGAATATTATCGACGATTCTAACAGCTTATATACATTAGCGTTGTCGTGGCATTCATTGAAATATATGGTATGATCTACAATGATTCAAAAATAGCACGCTAGCCCCCATTGTACTATGTCGTTAAAGTTTTTCGCTAATCTTTAAGACCTATGTACTATGCCAATTTGTTTGCCATTATTGAGCCAATAGAAATCTACGATAAATGTTGTGAAACCAATTAATGGCGAGCAAGGAGGGGCACAAAAATGCAAGAAGCATATGAAAACAAATGTACTAAAGCCCTGTTTGTCACACTGAGTGTACTATTAATATAATAAGTCACGGTGTTACCATAGATAATCGTAGTACAGTCAAGACTCGATATAGTAAAGTCAACGGGACGGGATTTTTCTTGACTATATCGAATATTTACTATATCGAATATTCTCGTTATAGTAAAGTTTATATATATGTGGCATAAATATTTACTATATCGCGACTGGCCAGTCTTGTGGTAGTATAATAATAAATGACTCAAACGTTATTTCG